TCCTAAACCCAATCCAACCCCAAACCCTAGACCCCAAACCCCAAACCCGAAGCCCTGAACCCTAAACCTAAACCCCTAAACCCCTAAACCCTAAACCCTAAACCCCTAAACCCTAAACCCTAAACCCTAAACCCTAAACCCTACTGTTGAAGTCGAGGCCTGGTGGGCATCTGCATCTACCCGGACAGCGAGGCCGGGGTGTAGGCTTTCTGGAGTTTAGGGTGTAGGGTTTAGGGTTTGGGGTTTAGGGTTTAGGGTTTAGGGGTAGGGTTTAGGGTTTGGGGTTTAGGGTTTAGGGTTTAGGCTTTAAGGTTTAGGGTTTAGCATCTCACGTCCAAGCATTCCTTAGTCAGGCGCGCTACTCTCGAATATCTACCCACCCACACTTTGGGATCTCATCTAAATCAGGAACCCTAAACCCTAAACCCTAAACCCTAAACCCTAAACCCTAAACCGAAAAACCCTAAACCCTAAACCCTAAACCCTAAACCCTAAACCCTAAACCCTATTCTCGTTTAAATCAAGCCTAGGCCTTCCATCCTAGGAGCCCAGAACCCTAGGGGCTTGGACCCTAAACCCTACATCCAGGAACCCTGGAACCTTAAACCCTAAACCCTAAACCCTACGGCCCCTAAACCCTAAACCCTAAACCCTAAACCCTAAACCATAAACCTTAAATCCAGGAACCCTAAAACCCTGCAGGGTGTGGGAGGGTGGGGGGTGGTTTAGGGTTTAGGGTAGGGGGTGGGGAATTGTGAAGGGGGGGGGGGGACGACGGCCGACGACGCGAATTAGGCAAAACTTTGTCTGGAGGGGGACGACGAATTAGGCAAATCGCAGACGACTGCCCGACGATGAACTAGGAAAAAACTCGCACTGGCCGACGACGAATAAGGCAAATTTGCATTGGCCGACGACGAAATGGGCAAACTCGCATTGGCCGACGATTAATTAAGCAAATTTACCACATACCCTAAACCCTAAACGGTACACCACAAACCTTCCCCGAAACCCTACACCCTAAAACGGGAAGCTCTTCACGCCCTGGAATTTTCATGAAGCGGCCCTTCCGCTCAGACCGTCCCCTGCGCAAAAACCTGAAGACGGTGTCCACTGCCTTCGGGCTCCAAGTGACCCACCAAGTCCAATGACTGAAAGCTTCCAAATTTCGTGAAGGTTGGCCCTGGCAACTTGCACCGTTCCCCAACACCTAAACCCAAAGCCCTAAACCCTCCAAAAGTTCGCCAAGAGTTCACACGTCGAAAAATGCCCCAGGCGTGTTTAAGTGTTCTAACCCAAGTGCCTCAGTGTCCTCTGAACATGTTCGACACGTGAATTTTGAATGGATGGCTTGGTTTGGGCTGGCTCCGGTTTGGTTTCGCCATGAGTTGTGATTGGGTAGCCTTGGGGTGGGCATGTCTTCACACTATTGCGTCCAGCTTACCGATGCCACACCCTAAACCCTAAACCCTAAACCCTAAACCCTAAACGCTGAACCCTGAACCCTGAACCCTGAACCCTGAACCCTTAAGCCACCCAAAGCTCTGCCCCCCCCCCCCCCCCCCCCCACACATGGCCAGGCTGAGCTCAAACTCGAACCGAGCTTCGCCGCGGAGATCAATATCTAAGCTGCGGCCACATGTTCGCCAGCAAGAGGGTTGAGGGTCAATCCTAAACCCTAAACCCTACAAGCAGAAGCCCTGAACCCTAAACCCTAAACCCTAAACCCCAAACCCTAAGCCCTATAAGCAGAAGCCCTGAACCCTAGCCCTCCCCGTCATACACTCTGAACCCCAAGCCACGAAACCCGTAACCCTGAATCTCCAAACAGACCCTGCAATCCCCCCTCCACAAAAAGTACTTACACTGAAAGACCTAGGGTTTAGGTTTGGGGGGGGGGGGGGGGGGGGAATGCCATTTAAAATCCTCAGCCCTCTCGAAACCCTAACCCCTCCAAACCCTGAACCCTGAACCCTGAACCCTGAACCCTGAACCCTGAACCCTGAACCCTGAACCCTAAACCCTAAACCCTAAACCCTAAACCCTAAACTTACCCTAAACCCTAAACCCTGAACCCTGAACCCTAAACCCTAAACCCTAAACCCTAAACCCTAAACCCTAAACCCTCTCGAGCTCGAGAACATGCAAGCGCCAAACACGTCTGAGCTCGCGCTCGGCTCGTTTGAACTTGCACTTCCTTCGGGGGAGGGGCGGTGCTGGCTGCAAGTTTATGACTCAAAGGGGTGTTAAGGGCTCCGAGTCTAAGGGTTGAGGCCCAAATTACAGGGGTTTTGGGGGGTTAGGGTTTGGGGTTTAGGGTTTGTTTGGGGTTTGGGGTTTGGGGTTTTGGGGTTTTGGGGTTTGAGGTTTAGGGGCCTTGAAGCATGGCTTGGGTTCAGCCAGCTCTCAGATGCTTTTGTGCAAAAGGTCCCAACGTTTGGGGTTTAGGGCTCAGGGTGTAGGGTGGGCTGATTTAGGGTTTAGGGTTTAGGGTTGAGGGAAATGGACAAGGGAAGCCTCAGAACCCCTCCTCCGAACCTAGCCTTTCAGCGAGAAGGCGGGTGGTTCCCAGCGGAGGCGCAGCGGCTCGCAGCACTGTTTGGGTGCTTTGCCAGCCAGAGCTCTCCGCAGAACCGCCCCGAAGTGGCCGACAGAAAAGCTGGGTTTTGCCCCTGACCCTGGCCCCCCTGAGAAGGTATCCAAGGGCAGAAGCCCCCCCCAAATCTGTAAACCCTAAACCCTGACCTCCAAACCGTAAACCCTGAACCCTACACCCTAAACCCCAAACCCCAAACCCCTGCCTAAGTTTAGGGTTTTGGGGTTTAGGGCTTAGGGTTTCGGGTTCTCGAAACCCGAAACCCTAAACCCTAAACTCCTAACGCTTTGCTCCCACGGGTGGTTGTTGAGGACCTGACGCCCATGTCCGCCACCCTACCGGTTTACCTACCGGTTCTTAGCAAGGAATGAGGGAAATAGGCACCTTATATCCCCCCATATACCCTTTAAGGATTCTATAGGCTACCCAACTACCAAGAACCGGAGGCTTCTTCCCGAGCCCTCGGACAGTTCTCGGAAGCTAAATGCACCCCAACACCCGCAACCCACCACCCTAAATACACCCTAAACCCTAAACCCTAAACCCCAAACCCTAAACCCTGAACCCTAAATCCTAAACCCTAAACCCTAAACCGTAAACCCCAAACCCTAAACCCTAAACCCTAAACCCCAAACCCCAAACCCTAAACCCTAAACCCGAAACCCAAACCCCTAAATACCACCTGAACAGCAGGACAGGCTGTACACGTGCAAAGAGTCGTTTGCGGTCTACGAGGGCGATCTCGCCACCTTGCAGCAAGCACAGGAAGGGTTTAGGGTTTGGGGTTTATGGTTTAGGGTTTAGGGGTTCACCCAAAGGCCAACCCGCAACCCTAAACCCTACCACCTTTAAGGGGGATCCTTTCAAGGGTCAGGTGTTAGGGCCACGAACCCCTTCCCGACCGACTCCACACCGGCGTGCGAGACTGACCTCTGAAGGGGTGTGGTTTAGGGTTTAGGGTTCGGGTTTAGGGTTTAGGGTTTGGGGTTTAGGGTTTAGGGTTTAGGGTTAGGGCGCGAATTTGGCCGCCATGAAAGGTTTCCCTGCTGAACATCTACCGGCAGTATGAGATGTACCGCCGCCTGGCACCACCTTGTCTACCTGTTGGGTTTAGGGTTTAGGGTTCAGGGTTTAGGGTTTGGGGTTTAGGGTTGAGGGTTTAGGGAGGCCCTAAGCCCCACAATCTGGTAAAGCCTAAGCCCCACCTTTCTCACCCGAAAGGTTTCCCAGCCCCACGCCTTGAACCCTAAACCCTACACCCAGCAAGGCTTGGCCCTGAATCATGGCATCCTACCCTGCCCCCCCCCACCCCAAACTTCCCCGCCACACCCTCAGCAAAGCCACCGCCCGTGCTTGCGCAGGTTTCTTTTGTGGCATATGGCTAGCTGCGTGGGCAGGTAGCACACCTATATCCCCCTCAACCCTACACCTTAAACCCTCAACCCTCAACCCTAAACCCTAACCTGCTTGGGACTCCTCGTGGTTTACACCCTAAGTTCAACACCCTTAGAAGCAACTCTTTCTCGGGGGGCGGATAGGGTTCATGGATGGAGTTTCTAGGGTTTGAAGGGTTTACAGGGTTTGTAGAGGGTTTTCAAAGGGTTTATAGGTTTTACAAAGGGCTTTTAGGGTGTGGAGCCGGGGTTCAGGGTGTCGGGGTCAAAAATTTAGGCTTCTAGGGCGCAGAGCTGCGCGAACGGCCGAAAAATCCTACAATCGCGTCAACCCCTTCCAACCCCCCAAAGGTCCTGGCTTTCAGCTTTTTGACGGGTAGGTCGTGTTTTGTTTCGGGTGGGTGGGGGAAGGGTTGGGGCACCGCAGGGTTTCGGGTCCAGGACCTAAAACCATGTTTCTTGGGCAGGTTCCGGCTTGACAAGAGGGCGCGACCAGACACTCCTGACATGCCAATGATTCAGGGTTTAGGGTCCAGGGTTTAGGGTTTAGGGATTTAGGGATTTAGGGATTTAGGGTTTAGGGTTTAGGGCTTAGGAGGGCCTAGCACTCTAGTGCTGACCCCAGAATCCAGCACTCTACATGAGCACCCCCACCCCCCCACCCCCCCCCCCCCCCCACCCCCCCCCCCCCCCACCCACCCCCCCCCCCCACATGGCGGTCCAGTGGTCCGCTCCGCAACATCTGTTTCAAGCTCGCAGCAGAGTTTAACGACCTTCCCCCCCGCGCCCCCTCCCACCACACACATCCTCCAACATGTCATTGGATTTGCTGAGGTTAGAGATCAAAGCTGAAGGGTCCTGGGCGTAGGCCGCGGCACCCTAAACCCTAAACCCTAAACCCTAAACCCTAAACCCTAAACCCTAAACCCTAAACCCTAAACCCTAAACCCTAAACCCTAAATCCCTGGCAAAGAGGGTGTTTGCGCCTTACAGGCTCAGCCCTCCCAGCCATGGCGGCGGAATCTGCCGGAGAGACGGCGCTGGCAGACGTAAGGCGGGGTTTAGGGTTTAGGGTTTAGGGTTTAGGGCTTAGGGTTTGGGGCTTAGGGCTCAGGGTTTAGGGTTTAGGGTTTAGGGCTTCGGGTTTAGGGCTTAGGGTTTAGGGCTTAGGGTTTAGGGTTTAGGGCTTGGGGTTTGTGGTTTAGGGCTTAGGGTTTAGGGGTTTTCTGAGTGGTGCTCGAAGGGTAATCGTGTTATATGTGTCTAGGTCTGGTTGCAGGGGGCAGACCCTTCAGCCTCAAAGCTCCCGACCCACTGAGGCCTTGGCTCTAGACCTAAACTCGCGCAAAGAAGTGTTAGCTTGAGGGTTGAAACCCTAAGCCTTAAACCCTAAACCCTAGCCCTAAACCCTAAACCCTAAACCCTAAACCCTCAACCCTAAACCCCAAATATCAAACCCTAGAATCTAGCCACCTCCCAACCCTCCACTTGCAGCCGCCACGGCCCAGGGTCGTGACCCTAACCCTGAGCCCTAATCCCTAGCCCTAAACTCTTAACCGAAAACGTTACCCCCTAAACCCTAAACCCTAAACCCGAAAACCCTCAAGCCATGAAGCCCGAAAGCCCTAAAGCCCTACACCTTAAAATGCCTTAAACATCCTGCACCCTAACCCCTAGAGCTCTATAAAGCCCTAGACCTCTCAAGTTTTCGGAAGCCGCAAACCCTAAACCCTAAACCCTAAACCCTAAACCCTAGACCCTAGACCCTAAACCCTAAACCCTAAACCCCAAACCATAAACCCTACCTAAACCCCTCCTCCAGGCACAGAAAGCCGGAGATACCCGGTGAGGGCGACGATGTGCCGCCTTTGAGCGCCCCGTTGGGGGTGCAACCGGCGGTCGCTTGCTTTTCCTGGCTGGTTCTTGGTAAGGAAGGAGGGAATGAGGTACTCTATAGAATCCCTTAAAGGTGTTTCGTTGGTTTGCTTACCTTTCTAAGGGTGGTTACGTGGTCCCTTAATCTGGTCCCTTGCCTTCTTTAAAGGGGTTCTGAAGTATGGGCGCTTGGGTTGCATACGGTAGATAGGGGGTATATGAGGTGTCCCCAATTAACGGCCCATGTTAAGGGACCATGAAACTACCCTAAGAACCTTCACACTGCTTCATCCTTCATGTTCGAAAGGTACTGTGATCTCACTGCTATGAATGTAGGAAAGTATTCCGCGTTTGCTATCGCTCGCCCTTACTTAGCTAATTCGTGGGACGAAGCGCATGCTGCTACGCAGGATTCCATCGCGTTTTTTTGCACGTGGGCCGTCAAGTAGTTGATCTTCTTCACGAAATATCAACCAATGAACATATGAAATGAAGCAGGGACGTGCGTTGCTTTAGAACGTCTTAGCTTTGGGGAAGCTTACGGAGTACGCCCCCCGCCCCGCCCCATTAGACGACATCAAAGCGGCGTAAACACTATGAACGTTTTCTGACTCTCTCCCTAGACCCTGAATAGGAGGCTCAAGGTGGTTCTCGCCAGGTTGAAAGGATCCGGCTTTGGGAAAGGTTTCGGGTTTAGGGTTGAGGGTCTAGGAATGAAGGTTTAGGATTTAGGGTTTAGGGTTTAGGGCTTAGGGTTTAGGGTGCAGGTTTAGGGTTTAGGGTTTAGGAATGAAGGTTTAGGGCTTGTCGAGTTTGAACCCTTTCGAGCCACATGGGAGACCAAGGAGACGAACAAGCGCAGCTCCAAGGACTCCATCGACATGCCACGCGGCTGGCTTTGGGGTTTTGGGGGGAGGTTCGTCGTTGAAGGGTCGAAGGGTTTTGAGCGTTCCCTAAACCCTAAACCCCAAGCCCTAAACCCTAAACCCTAAACCCTAAACCCTATACCCTACACCCGACATCCTACACCCGACACCCTAAACTCTACAGTTGGCAATGCTCCTTTTTGGCCGAAGGCCGGGGTTCGGTAGGAGGTTGCGCGGCGTGAGGTTCGACATGTAGTTGTGGTTCAGAGCTTTTGGGCCCGAATCCCTAAACTCCAAACCCTAAACGTTAAACCCTAAACCCTAAACCCTAAACCCCAAAACCCTAAACGCGCAAGCCGCAACTCAGGGGCTCGAAGACGAGGGTGCCGTTGACGGCCTCTCGGACAAGCAATCCCTTGCGAGCGTTCGAGCGTTCAGGGTTTAGGGTTTGGGGTTTGAGGTTTAGGGCCAGGGAATTATATTGGTTGGTTTGGCTCTTTAAATAGAGTTTCTGTTTTGTAGGGGGTTATATTAAGGTATAAGGGTAACAGATAAAGAGGCCACCGGCCTTTTGAAAGCCAAAACGGTTGGTGTTCCAGGGTTTCTTTGGGTTTAGGGTTTAGGGTTTAGGGTTTCGGGCGCGCGGGCTGATGAAGCCGGTTGGTTCGGTCAAGAAGCGAAACCGATTAATAGCTGTTGCATCAATCGTGAAGCACTAAAGTATGTCTGGCTTCGGGTTTAGGATTTCGAAGCCCACCTGCAACAACAACGAAAATAGGCATGTGTGTGTGTGTGTGTGTGTGTGTGTGTGTGTGTGTGTGTGTGTGTGTGTGTGTGTGTGTGTGTGTGTGTGTGTGTGTGTGTGTGTGTGTGTTTGTGTGTGTCTCAGGACCATCGCTGTACATGCGAGGTGCCAAACCGAGCAGCATATCATCAGCGGGCAGTGGAGATTCTGCATAGGGGGGGGGGGGGGGCTTCCCACAGTATTTCAACGAACGATGTAGTACTTTGGGGTATATAGGGGTACCCCTAATGTCGGAAATCCCCAATCTAGGGTTGGACTTGCTGAGGGTTTCGGGTGAGGAAAACAAGGACCTATGGGTTCAGGGTCCAGGGTTCGGTGGTTTAGGGTTTAGGGTTTGGGGTTTAGGGTTTGGGGTTTGAAGTTAAATTCTGCAACTCTTAGGCCTGAACCCGAAGCCCCAACACCCAGGTAAACCCTAAGCCCTAAGCCCTAAACCCTAAACCCCAAAAAGCCCTTTTAGGCCCCCATCCCGGGCAAAATCTTTCCCATCTTTGTGACCCTTTCTGAGGCTGCATACCAGTCCCTGATCAACAGCCTCGTCCACCAGCACCTTGAAACTTGGCTCGACTCAAGCCCTGGGGTTTAGGGTTTAGGGTTTAGGGTTTGGGGGGTTTGGGGTTTGGGGTTTGGGGTTTAGGGTTTAGGGGGTTTGGGGTTTAGGGTTTGGGGTTTCGGGTTTAGGGTTTAGGGTTTAGGGGGTTTGGGGTTTAGGGTTTGGGGTTTCGGGTTTCGGGTTTAGGGTTTAGGGTTTAGGGGGTTTGGGGTTTAGGGTTTAGGGTTTGGGGTTTAGGGTTCAGGGTCCCCCCATACCAGGTCCACCGGAACACTAGACCGGACGGAGCATTTGGGGTTTAGGGTTTAGGGTTTTGGGTTTAGGGTCTGGGGTTTCTTTTTTTGGGGGGATGTAGGGTTGAGGCTTTAGGACTCAAGCTCCCTACACCTTCCCAGCGTTGTGGGCTTTAGGACTTGAGGGCTTGAGCGATTTAGTGGGTTTTTAGGACGTTAGGGGATGTTTTGGAGTTTAGAGTTTAGGGTGTGAGGGTTTGACGGTTTGAAGGTTTCAGGGTTTCAGGGCTTCAGGGTTTCAGGGTTTCAGGGTTTGAGAGTTTTTTAGGCGTTTAGGCATTTAGGGATTCGGGTTTTAGGGCTTGAGGGTTTTAGGGTTTTAAGGCTAGAGGGTTTCAGGGACTTCGGGCTTTAGGGATTTCGGACTTTAGGGATAGTATGGTTTTTGTGCTTTAGGGAGTTACGGTTGTGGGTTTTCCAGATTAGGGGTTTGGGGTTCAGGGTTCAAAGTCCCGGGAAGTCGGGCTCACAGTGCTGGGAACTCAGATCTCACGAAGCGCCACCCTTGTTTCACGGAATGCTCAGCCTGATCCAGCCCTAAACACCAAGCCTCAGCTAAACCCTAAACCTAAACCCTAAACCCTAAACCCTAAACCCTAAACCCTAAACCCTAAACCCTAAACCCTAAACCGTAAACCCTAAACCCTAAACTTTAAACCCTAAACCCTAAACCCTAAACCCTAAACCCTAAACCCTAAACCCGAAACCCTAAACCCTAAACCCTAAACCCTAAACCCTAGACTCTAAACCCTAAACCGTCCCTGCCCCTGCCCCTCTGCTGCGAGCGTGTTAACCACGGCCTTGAAGCCCAGCCTAAACCCCAAGCCTAAAACCCTGAAACCCTGAACGCCTGAAACTTAAAGCCTCACCGCAACTGCCATAAACTCCAAGAAACCCTCTCCCTACGCCACACCCAATTTCCCCGCACCCTAACAATCCTCTCCTGAGCCCCCCAGAATCCTTAAGGGCCGAAACCACCCGAAACCCGCCGAAACCCGAAGCCCGAAACCCGAAACCCTAAACCCTAAACCCTAAACTTAGCCTTAAGCTGCCTGGAGGTGGAGGTAGCCGCAGCTGCAGCCGCGAACGACGGTGTAAGCAGCACTGGGAGCCTTGCATTGCTGCGTGGATGGTCGCAGGCGTGCCCCCCCAAACCCCAAACCCCAACCCTAAACCCTAAACCCAAAGCCCTAAACCCTAAGACCTCATTTTTGCCTCTGGGGTAAACTGAGGCGGTGTAGAGCTTAGGGAGTTGGAGGGCTTCTTTTTGTCATGGGTGTAGGGTTTAAGAGTGTGGGGATTGCAGGGCTTGTTCAGGCAGTTTCGGGGCTTAAGGGTTGACAGTGTCGGGGTTTTGTAGGGGTTCAGGTTGTAGTGTTTACTGTAGGGCTCAGCCAAGTCCTCTACCCTTGGCACTGTCCTGCACTTTTCAGAGGGAGGCAGCTTTTCAGAGGAGGCAATGCGATTGCTCTCTGCTGCCTTTTTGTTTTTTGTCTCCCTTCCCTTCCGCAGGGTGGCTGTTTAGGGTTTAGGGTTTAGGGTTTAGGGTTTAGGGTTTAGGGTTTAGGGTTTAGGCTTTGCGTGCGGACTGCCTTCCTGTGCTTGCAACGTCGAGAGTCAGACGCCAGCGCCTGCATCCAAAACCCTTCCAGACACAAGATCCAGGTGCGCCTGGGCCCCAAAGCAACCCCAAACCCTAAATCCGGTTTGGTCATCTTTCTGTGTTACATGCCATCCTCAAGTGACTTGAGTCAGGATCAGTTCGCAATGGAGTCTTGCAGAAACCCTAAACCCTAAACCCTAAACCCTAAACCCTAAACCCTAAACCCTAAACCCTAAACCCTAAACCCTAGACCCTAGACCCTAAACCCTAAATCCTAAACCCTAAACCCTAAACCCTAAACCCACCCTAAATCCACATACCTAACCGATCTGTGCGTGTTTGGCCAGGGCAGCCGGCAGCGCTCGCAGGCAAAGCTCAAGCGGCAACCCCCCCCCCCCCACTGCGGGTTAGGGTTTAGGGTTTAGGGTTTAGGCTTGAGGGTTTAGGGTTTAGGGTTTAGGGTTGAGGGTTTAGGGTTTCGGGTTTCCTGCTACCCCGCTATTCTTATTGACATGTCTTGTATTCTTCTTCTTGTTTGTTGTTGATGCTGTTGTGATGGTGATTGATGGCGATGCTAGTTTCCTCATTGTCTTCTTAGTTGTTTGATGTCGCTGATGGTGACGAGGTTGCTGGTCATTCCTATTGTCTTTCTGCGTCTTTCTGCCTTTACTGTTGCTAACCTGCTTTGATGGTGATGATGATGATGATGGTGATGATGATGGTGGATATCAATATTATTCTCTTTCTTAGTCTTTTTCTTAGTCTTCTTCTTCTTCTTATTATTATTATGAATATTGTCATGATCATTCTCATTATGATTATGATGCTGACGAAGAACGTTTCTTTGCCCATATGAATCTGCAGCCGCGGCAGGGGCGACAGAAGCATCGAACAATCCCAGATCGGGGCCTAAACCCTAAACCCGAAACCTAAACCCCAAAACCCCTAAAATATGTGGGGAACCAAGTGGGAGACAAGTGGGAGACCACAGTCCCTGACAGGCATCACAGCATGCAGGGTCCATTCACTTTCATAAACTGGCCCTAGACCCTAAGCCCTAAGCCCCAAACCCTAAACCCTAAACCCTAAACCCTAGACCCTAAACCCGAAATCTTAAACCCGTACTTGCAAGAGCGGTTCTTCCTGTCAAAGGAGCGAAGCAATGAAGTTAGGGTTTTATTCTCAGGGTTTAGGGTTTAGAGGTTTTGGGGGTGCAGAAGGGCAGAGTGAGCGAGTGAGAGAGCTAGCGAGAGAACAACCGACTTCCCCAAACCCCAAGCCCTAAACCCTAAACCCTAAACCCTAAACCCTCCTTCGCTGCTGAGTTTT